GTTTCCTGTTTCTGTGAACCTCTTGGCATGAGTATCACTCAAAGCCTTCAGGCCGATATAGAGATGGCCAGTGTAACAGTAGGAAGGTTGACCATCTCTACAAAAGGAAGGCCCATGAGTTTCTGGGCAGATTCCCTGTCTGCTGCATGGACCTGCCAGGATACTTTTTGTTTTCTGTAGACGTGGGCCTAGAAATTGTAGCGGCAAACACATAAGGTGAGAAACTGAGCAAGCAAATGACAGTGCCCAGGGGTGGAGCGTTAACTCAGTTGGTAAAGCACTTCCTACACAAACATGAGCTCCTGCTAGTACTCAGAGCTGGGCACAGCACCATAGGCCAGAAATCCCAGTGCTGTGGGGGCAGAGAAAGGCAGGTCTCTGAAGCAGAGCAGCCAGCTTGTCTAGAGGAAGCAGTGAAAGAGGACACCCAGCGTGGACCTCCCCACCCCTGCATTATTCGCTCTGCTCCCCAGTATCCATGCTCTCCTCCCTGAACCTGTGTGTAGCGCTTTACATGCAGAGCAACGTGCATGCTTGTCCTCAGCACTCGCAACTAAAGATCTGAGATTTCCTGATGTCGGCATGCGAAACCTGCTTTAATTGACAACTTCCGGTTGTATTTCACAAGGGCATTTACCCTGCACTTGCCTTTAAATAATGGCGAGTTTTACAAAACTTAGCAAAAGAGATTAACAGTCTGGCTAATAGGGAAGTGATTAAAAATACTATAACCATTTTCCCCTTCCATGTTAACACGTTCGTTGCTGTTGCCCCTGTTCCAGCTTTGCTGCTGCAGCCATGTCTATCAGAGACTGTTTCACAGCAGACTTCTGCTATTCAGGCTTTTACAATCTTTCCTCCTTTTCTGAGGTGTTCTCTGAGCCACAGATGCATGAGCTGCGGCACAGATGTATCCACTGGAGCTGGGGGTCCCTGCAACATTGATAGCTGCCTTGTATCCAGTTGTGGTTTTCTGTGATTGGTGTAAAGACAAGTTTCTCTGATGAGAGGCGGTAGCTACGCTTCTCTGTAGTATAAGGAGAAGATTTAGCATGGGGTAAGGAATGATGCTGTTCTAGTCAAGTGTTGGTCGTAGATTCTTTTCTAAGTTCCATGACATTCCTTGCCCAAGGAAACTGGCTAGGTTTTCAACACCGGGCTTGATTTCCCTCCTGTGAATGAATATTAAGTCCATGTAGACAACTGTTGATTGACACCGACATGTGAGTGCCACTTATTGCAACTTTATGCATATCTTACCAGGCAAACAGCTAGAGTCAACTAATGACTGCCGGAGAAGGAGAATTAGCTTCTCCCAGGGGTGATCCCTCTTACTGGCTGTCCAAGCAAAGTCAAACTCGATTCCATGTATGTAAAAACTGACTCAACAGACTGTATTGTGTGTATGTGTGTGTGTGTATGTATACAGTCTACTGAGTATGTATAAATGTATATATACAGATATATGGGTGTATACATATATATATGTGTGTATATATATATATACATTAATGCTATAACAATAATGAAAGAAAAAGGGCTGCTAACTTGAGTGGAGGACATAAGAGGAGTTTGAGGGATGGTAGCTGGGAGGGGTTAGAGTAGAGAAAAAGACCAGGGAATGTGATATATCCTATTTAAATTAGAAATATTAAAAATACATCATAATTGATTTCTCCCCACCCTTGTAGCCTGTGAACCAATGTTTGACACATAGAAGATATTCAATAAATATTTGCTACTGTAGCAATTTATAAAAAAGAATACTACGAATATTTTCACTGAAAATGGTCTCATGACAAATGTGTGTCTAGTCCCCAAATGACGGCTTTTGAAACATAGACACTTTTTGAAATATAACTGATTATACACTTGCTACAACATGGGCTTAAATGTTTAGTTTCCTGGCTTTGTTCCGGTTTGTTTAAATGAAACCCTGGGCTTTACTGAAAATGGAGACCTACACTGTTCAACCCTGCTGTCGTCCTCACTAGAGGAGTCTGCCCTCCCGCTTGACCCAGGGCTGATGCAGACCAGATTCCTGGTGGTGCGAATGTCCCTCTGGTCCAGCTTTGCTAACCCGGGGTGGAGGGGTGTCTACAGCTTCCATCTCTTCTTTCTTTGTCGCCCTTTCGTTGCATGCCAAGGTCTGCAGCTGTGACCCTGCCACAGGGTGAAAAGAATCAAATTAGAGGAGTTCTGACAGGTACGCCCCCTTTAGCCTTGCAGCCATGCAAACCTTATTATTTGTTGGCCTCAAATGTCAGCTACAGCCAGAGTCAGTCCTTGTCACTCTGGCTTCCTCATTCCAAGGCATGACCTAAGGTCTCCTCCAGCCCGGTGCAGCTGTTTCAAAAGCAACAGAGCACGTGTGGTAGGTGAGGCTTGCAGTGAACAGGCTTCTCTATAGATCAACACCCCAGCTGGGCATCCCTGCTATTTTTGCCCAAGAGCCCCAAGAATGGCGACATCAGTGACAGCCCATTGAATGCCTATCATTGTTACCATGAAAGCTTTGAGACCTTAATTATTTCTCAGTCTTTAAAGCTGAGTTGGAGGCCTGGAGACTATAAGGCAGGTTGTTATTGCCCACTGGTTAGCCACTTGTACCCCAAATGCCCACTTCCTAGCACAAACAGAAGGAGGGAGCTGGCACAATAACAGGGTACCCACGCCCTGCAAATGAAATGCTGGTGAGATAAACTGGATAAGAGTGGAGACAGCACGTGGGGCTAGGGAAAGGACTTGGTAGGTAAGGTGTTTGCCTCACAAGCATGGCAATCCACATTCTTATCTCCAGAACCAATATTAAGAAAATAAATAAATTGAAGCCTGGCAGTGGTGGTGCATGCCTTTAATCCCAGCACTCAGGAGGCAGAGGCAGGCAGACCTCTGTGAGTTCGGGGCCAGCCTGCTCTACAAGATCTAGTTCCAGGACAGGCTCCAAAACTACAGAGAAACCTGGTCTTGAAAAACCAAAAATAAATAAATAAGTAAATAAATAAATAAGCAAGCCAAGTATGGTAGTGTGTACTAATAATCCCTGTGCTGGGAAAAGAGAGACAGACAGATCTCTAGGACTCACTGCCCAGTCAGCCTAATGAAACTGGTATACCAAGCCTGTGAGAAACCCTGTCTCAAAAACTGCCAGCCTAAGGTTGTTGGGATCAACAGGAGTCAGGGATCAACAGGAGCAATGGGGATGAAGCACAACGGCATTAAAAAGAAAAGCCTCTGGGTAGCAAATTAACTTGGAAAATGGGAAATGTCTTCAGTCAGATGCTGTCCCTGTTGCTGCTCAGAGAGAATACCTGTTTCATTTATTCATAGTGTACTCCCGCTGCAAGATTCGTAGGAAGAATGTTGTGTTTCGCAAGGCCAGGTGTGACATCTGGTTTTGCTTCTGTGTCTATTCACAAAGTCTCACACATAGTGGGGACTGGGTGAATGTCTGCAGACACCTGACACACTGGTGCGTTCCTCAGGCGGGAGGCTTTGTCAAAGCTGTCACCAAGGTTGTCACGGTTATCATTGGTGTTACCAGCATCATCAGTGTGACCACCGAGTGGTTTTATGTTGGGAATAGTCTCTGCACTTTGGACCACAGCATGATGAACATCTTGAGAATATGATCCCGATGGACCCGTCACTGCTCAGCCTGGGACTGTCTCCCAGACTTCTTCTCTCTGCCCAAAATACTCTGTATTTCCTCTACTCTAACTGAGTCACAGGAAAGACACAGCATGAGAATTTCAGAGGATGGGGTTGTCTCCCCTGTCTTTCACAGAGACTTTCTCTCCTATCTTTCTGTGATTAGCAAAAAGAAAACAATTTCCCCCAAATATGATAGCTTAAAAAAAAACCACACATTTATTATCTCACCACTTCTCATTTCCAGAATCAGAGAATGGTTTTCCTAGGTCTTCTAGACAAGGGTCCATTGAAGGTGTAGTCAGGGTGCTTCTGTCCCTGGGCTCAGCTTAGGGCTGGATTTCCTCCCAGGCTCATGAGCACAGCTGTTGAAGAGGAGCTGCCAGCTCTTATCCATGTGAGACTTGGTACAGGGCTAACTTAGAATCTGGTTGTTTACTGTCCCCCAGAATAATAAGAGAAATGGGAGTTCCCAGGCATGCATGATATTTCTATCCCTCAGTGCCCTGATGATTAGAAGCAGTCACAGTACCACCCCACACTCAAGAGAGGGACTCACACACTAGCACCACATCAGGAAGCTGGCATCATTAGACAGAAGCTGCCCATCAAAGAGAGGGATGTTTCTCTCCCTAAGTACAGGCACAGGAACACCTTGATTCCCTTTATGCCATTCCCCTTTTGGACATGGCCTATGTAGGGATCCCAATCACAATGCCTCGCCAAGCTCACCTTTCATGATAGGGAAATAAGAAACAGGGGGAGCCAGAGGGACAAGCAAGCTCTTCTAAGAATAACTTCCATGTGATGACATAGCTGTCCCTGTGTGCACGCTCTGACCCTGGGTCCTGAAAAGCACCCCAGTTACTCCCGCGGGCTTGTCTGAGCATCGGTTTCCTGATGAGACTTAGAGCTCCCTGGTGGATCTATTAAAAATAGTGCTCCAGAGGTGACAGACCCAGAAGTCACGTGTTTACACGTTCCCCTCCCTGCACCTACTTTGCAAAGATTTGATTCTAATTTCAGATGATGGTGAAGCCTCCTTTCTGTTAGCTTGATATACATGTTCAACACTCCCCTCCTAATTCTGATATAAACATCTCATCAGCAGTAATACCATTTCCCAAACTAAATTCCTCACCCCCTTCCTTACAGCACACATAGAAGAAGGAAATGGGGGAGCTAATTTGTATCCAGAGAGGCTCAGGGACAAAACTGGACTCATAAATGGACACACGTACGTGTATAAGTTCAGGTGGAGCTGTCACTGAAGCATTTTGCGGAGGAGAGTGTTTTAAAATAGGTCTGGAGTTGCATACATAGCACTTTCCTTTTGTTTCCTTTTGCAGATTGTGTCCCAGAGAAAGCTTTCCAAGTCCTTGCTGAAACATGGGAACACGGCGGGGAAGTCCTCCATTACGGTAAGCTGGCCCTGGGGTGGCAACTGGTGTTAGGACCCGTGTTTGGATCAGCAAGTACGGATCCAAAAGAGACGCTAGGATGGTGAACTCCTCTGCCTGCTGGGAGCTGATTGAACTGCCCAAAGTGTCTCTGTATTCTTTTTTTCTGTTTTTCATCTCTTCCTTTCTTGTGAAAACTATTTTGATCCTTCTCCCCTTAGGGAAAAGGGGAAGGAAGTAGATTTGAAAGTGGGGTCACTCACTTCTGCTGAGAGCTTCTGCAATCACACTAGAAATCACAAGCTAGAGCAGGAAAGAGAAGGAAGTTGACTCTGTTGGACACAGTAAGAATACAGAATTGGCTGGGGTTTTTGGATTGGCAAAGTGCCTCCCCCCAAACAATTTTATTTTAAAAGCATTTAGTTCAAAGTTTGATTTGCTTGCCAAGGAGAGGCCAACCTTAATATTTTTCATTGACTAACAGATTTGAGCTCCGTGGCTTCGTTCCACAAACGGTAGTTGTTTAAGCAAATTTATTCTTTATTTAAAAGGAAATAAGTGCTGAAATTCAGTTCCTTTGTGACACTAGCAATGAATTAATTGCTCAACCGTTAGTGAGTCCAGTGACTTGTTAAAGAAAAGGCAGGTGTTTTTATTTATTTATTTTTATTTGTTTTGAGACAGGGTCTCACCATGTAGCTCTGGCTGACCTGGAACTTGTTATGTAGACCAAGTTAGCCTCAAAGTCACAGAGATAAGGCTACTTCTCCCTCCTAAGTGCTGGGATTAAAAGCATGCATCTCCTCACCCAGAAAGGAAGCTTTTCCTAGCTGCTGCTCCTGATGGCTCTACCTCCAGCCTGGGCCCCAACTCACACTCCACACCCAGCCTATGAAGTTAGTGACCCACTGCTGTGTAGACTAGTGAGCTCCTTCCAGAGCTGAAAATGGTGCACCCTACACACAAGGAGTGTGGAGAAACACCTGCCCGATGCCGGTGTTTGTTCATTTTTGAGATCAAAATTACCCAAAGGTGCTAATCGGCTCCTGGACTGAGGGTCCGCCCTCTATAGCGGCTGATGTGTGCTTTTTCCCCTAGGTGATTGCCGAAGAGTTATCAGGCAATGACGACTATGTGGAGCTTGCCTTCAATGCACGGAAATTGGATGATAAGGTAAAACGTTTCGCCTTGACCTCACTGAAGGAAGTAATAAAGCTAAGACACACAGTTTAATCAGATTCCTCCTCGCAGCTGTTTTCCCTTTTCACCCACATTATTAAACACATCAAAGACTTCAGAGAAGTCTGCAAGGCAGATTTTCCCCAAATGGAGGAGCCTTTGGTAAAACAATTTGGTAAGACTAAGTTATCATTTGTTTACAAATGCCAGAGGTTGGCTGTGCCCAGGAAAATATGACTTTCCCCCATCGTTGGGGTCACTCTAAGGAAAAAGTGAAGCCCGGAAGGGGAGTATGATGGCACATCAGGAGGCATCTGATTTTGCCAAGTTTAGGGCTAAGAGCATTGCATACACTGTCTGATTTAGTCATGTGTACAACTCCCATGTGATAGGAGTATTAATTCAGTCAAAGAAAGAGATTAAAAGATGAAATAACTAGTCCAAGCTTCCCCTTCATAGTCCAGAGCTACTGAGTAGCAGACACCGAGGCAGAATTAAAGACACAGGATTGTATTTATGCCTGTGGCTTCCATAAAGGGAAAACTGGGAGAATATGAACAGGTCATGAGGAAATTCTGACACCAAATGAAAAAGAGACCCCTGAGTGTGGGTAGAAGTCCCCTAGAATGCTACCCAGACGAAGAGGGATGCAGCAAAGCCATTAGGAAACTCCAGAGCCAAAGTCAACCACTGAGAACTGTCTCCCAGCCAAAAGCCTGCCGTAATGTCCCTTCTGTACTCAGTTACTAGACGGAGCAATCCTAGGCAGTTTGGCCACAGAGCAAATGCAAGGATGAACATCAGAGTTCAGAAACCTATAATCCTTGGTAAGTTTTGTTCCCTAGAGGAAGAGTGTGCAAGATGTGTCTCCATGGCCACCACATCCAGATAGTAAGCAATAAAACTGAAGATGCAACTCCATGCCAGTGTTCTTTCCATTATGCTCTGTCCGTGGTAGCATCCACCCAAAAATCCAGTTAAACCTGTGTGTGTGTGTGTGTGTGTGTGTGTGTTGTGTAGGCCTTACACCTTATGAAGCTTAGACATCCAATTTCATCATATCATACCTATAATTTCCCTTCAAATATAAAGCCAAAAAATGACATCAGTGATTATTTACACAAGACACCATCTTTCTGGAGTAAGAATCAATTTTTACAGCCACTCTCTTATTTGTCAAATTATTTCTTCATTCATCATTCATTTGCCAAACTCTGTTGGGTGTTTGTTGCCAACAAAGAGCTAGGAAGGAGCCGCACCAGCCTCACACAATAGCCTGGGCTTCATCATCTAAGTTAGATGTAAATCGCAAAGCTACATAACCCATAATGGTATAGTGAAGTGGGAGATATGATAATTGATGTATAAATAAGAGTGTCTAGGAAAGGTGGCCACTCATTTTGCCTGGCAATATCCGGAGAGACTTTAAATACTATAACCCTATGAATTCTGTGTGTGTGTGTGTGTGTGTGTGTGGATGGGGGTACACGCGCGCATGTGCATGCATGCATATGTGTGTGTATGCCTGTGTGCATGCCGCTGTGTGTGTGTGCATGTGCGTTTATGTGTGTGTATGTGTGTGTGCATGCTGCTGTGTGTGTGTGAATGTGCATGCATGTGTGTGTGTATGTGTGTGTGCATGTGTGTGTGTATGTGTCTTTGAATATTATTCCTCGGGAGACATCCATCTTCTTTTTCAAGACAGGGTCTCTCACCGGGACTTAGAACATACTGATTATGCTGGACTGGCTAGCCAGAAAACCCCAGGGATCTACACATTTCTGTGTCCCCAATGTGGAGACTACAGACCTATATTACCAAATCTAGATGTTTTTCTCCTATTTCTCCTTTGAAAGTTTTGCACAATGTGTATCTTGATAATACCCCCTTGGGGCCCCTGCCAACACATTTACCTCCCAATCTCATAGTTTTCTTCTTAATTTAAAATGCTTATAGCCCACTGCAGAGTCCAATGACTGCTGCCTATGTGCACACAGGTGTGAAGCTACCCACTGGGGAATGGGCGCCTACCAGTCACCAAGTCCCACACCTACCAAACTGACACTCACTTCCCCAAGACGTGGTGATAGTTTGTCTCTGCTTTAATAAATAAAGTTTGCCTGAAAGAATCTCTGTCACATTTCACATGGTTCTAAAAGGTTGCTAGCGCCTGGTGCTCGGGCTGGCCAGAGGTTGGGTTTAACCAGCATAGTTGGCAGAGTACCTACATGATTCATGTCCTGTAGCATACATGGCTTATCCCAGACAGGGCATCTCAAGAACCAGGTAGGAAATTCAAACGATTTGCTGACTCGATCTGAGAAGTCATACATAAGACATAAGAGCAGGGAATTAGACTCCAGGTCAATGGGAAAATGGCAAAACCGTGTTATAGGAAATATGTGTACTCCAAGCATTGTGGAATCCATTTTTGGAAAATGTGAACTTCCATTGTGTTTTTGCTAGGTCCAGATAATACAGTACAATTATTTCCTTCCATGAGTAGAAAAAAGTAGTTTCTGAAAATTCTCAAGGAAGACTCCTTCCCTGCTTTTTAACTTTAAAAATTTTGCAGCCACTTAGGTGGTCAACAGATATAGTCACTGGCTAGAAACCAGTGGCTAAAAGCCATGATGTTACAAATAAATTTTTGGATTTTATTATATTAGTGAATAATATTAAAGTAACTGATTTTTGTATACATCTAAAAATTGTAGTAGACCAGAGACCTGGAAAAAGCAGAAACCCACCAAGCGCCTGAAGCACCTGGAAGTGACACTCTAATCTGTTGAACTGCCTCCAGACTGTGCGACATGCTCTAAGTTCCCAGCTCCTGTGAGCTGTCCCCCATGCTGGGGTGGGCTTTGGTGATGCAGCTGCTCTTGAGGCATTTCTGCTCCCGTAGTAACCCCTCACCCATATTCCTGTAAATACCCCAATAAAATTCATTGGTTCATCAATAAATAAATAAATAAATATTGTAGTATGAATCTATGAGGCGGGGGGGAATGGGCTGTATCCGGTTAATATCAGTCACAGAACATCTGAATTCTGTTTCCTGGTTAGTCTGGTAACCTCCAAGTATTTAAATACTGCAGATTTAAAAAGAGCATTGCTCTGTCCATCTGACTTTGTTTATAGATGGCAAATTGAGATTCTGAGATGTGAAATGGTTTACCTAAAGCTACATGTATACACTCAAAACAGAAGACAAAAATCAGGGACAGAGAGTGACCCAGTGAGTCTCCTGACTGTCAGCCAAAGCTTGGGTTGCTTTCAGGAGGGAGGACTGTTGGTTCAGAGGAACAGGAAGCCAGGAGAGGGAAGGTGAGGGTAAGCTGGAGGTCATTAGTTTTCAAAGGGAGGTCTAGTATCCTTGCACCCTTCCACAGAAGTCCCTAAAGTGAAACCTGTTTCCATAGTAACACCAAGATATCTTTTCTCTTTGATTCTCACTTTCTCCCTCATGAACAAAGAAGTTTTCCCAACGGCAAATAAACCACACTGAGTACAAGAGCGGAATTGAGAGTCCAGCTTCCTCTTCTTCCTGTTGAGGTCACTAAACTATTGTGTACAAATGTTAAATAACATTCTCCTCACTACCCTCTTGAATTTGGAAAATACATTTATTTTCCCGGCGAAATGCTGTTTTGTTACAATGTGGGTTTTGTCATTCAAAAAATATACCAAATGAATGTTTTTAAGTGTATGAGATTTATAATGTGGTATGTATTAAATAATACCATCACATAAAAATTTTGGGGGTCCCCAACGATTTTTAAAAATATAAAGAAATATTATGACCAAAAATCTGAGAACCATTGTTGTAGGATTCACCAGGGAGTGCTAAGTACTTTTGCAAACCACAGGGATGAAGGCATATGTCCACTCTTCTTGACAAGGAGTCATTTTTTTAGCTCACTTTATGCCGTTCAGTGGCCATCTACCCAAGGTGGACATCTTAGAAGTCTTACAAGCATTTGTCATTACGAGTCAGCATGTAAATAAATTACATTTGTGAAGAATAACTTACTGACCTAATGCACGCCACTTAATGGAGAAAGAGCCTTTATGACTTCCATTTGTTACATTAGCATGTGTTTCTTACATTGGTAGGCAGTTAGCAATTAGCCTAACAGGTAAGCACACGGACGCATGTAGTACCCACTTTGAACCATGAAAGCTAGCAGGATGTTCCTTCACCCTTCCCTGAGAAAGTATCCATGCTGGTGGAGAGAAACTACTTCTTCCACTGGCCTCCACGTTTGTGAAGGATATCATTACAGATTCGATTTAATGGTCCTATGAAGCCAGCTTGATGGAGTGGGAGATGACTAAGCAGATCTGTCTCTAAAATAGAGGTTGTCAAACTTTTCCTCTGAAGGACCAGATGGCTCAGTACCGTAGGCTTTGCAAGCCATATGGTCTTTGTTCCTATCACTCAGCTGTGTCTTGAGGCCTGAAGACAGCCACCAATGAAGCATAAATGAATGGGTGTGGCAGTGGTCCAATAAAACTTTATTCATAAAAGCAATGGCGAGATTTCTCTTGTGCTGTAGTTGGCTGACTCCTGCTTTAAGGAGACTCGCTGTCCTGTGTTTCACTGTGTTTGTGGGTGGCTGCCTGGGAACTGTGGTCCAGTCTGCATAGATGACAGAAAAATCGTCCCTAGGATGCTGACTGTGTTTCCAAAGGTAGGCATTTTTATTTCTAACTTACAGATAGAGAACAGGGAGCTTAAAGTTTTGCCTGTGCTCACAAAGTAAAAACTATCCATGGAGTCTGGATATGGCAGCCTTTTTCTTTCAGTTCTACAAATCCAGGTTTTATTCAAAGACTACAGGAGTGGACATGTACTGCTTATTTTTCTCTCTGTTTCTTTATAGAAGCTATACTTTTAAAATTTACTTGCCAAGGAATGGATTTCCTCATGATTTTTTCATGCATGTTTAGTTTTGGCTGATTCTCCTCCTTCATGCACACCTACTACCCTA